GGAGCAGCGGGCCGGTCAGGAGAGGTCTGCTGCGCCATGTGGGTCAGCTCCCTGACCAGGGATTGAACTCATGCTGAAGTGTCTGCCTATAGCTTCATAGTGCTGAGACTTAACCCCTTGTGCCACCAGGGAGGCTTCCTTACTTGACTTTTATGTACTTCTAAAATCATTCTGAACAATGATGATATCTTTAGAATAACTGTGCCGCTTCTAGAGGCAACATATAAAGGGCAATATTTATATACATTTAGCATGTGACACTCTTCCTTCGCAAGCAGACTTTATATAGCCCAGTTTTCATCTAATGAGCCGTTTGACATGGTCTTACGCTTTGTACTGAGTCTCTTTGGACTTGCATCACCTGTTTGCCTTTATCCTTTTTACCCAGAATTAATTTTTTTTTCTTTTTTTCTGTGTAATGGCCAGATATTTTGACACAGCCAATGCTTTGGAGCAAGAAACTAAGCTGGGGTTACGACGCTTTGAAGTTTGTGACAACATTGATCTTGAAACCATTTTGATGGAATATGAGAGCTATTATTATGTAAAATTTCAGAAATACCCCAAAATTATCAAAAAGGCATCAGATACAGGTACATGGCTATATTCTAGAATTCAGAATTCTGAATTTTGAATGCTATCTTCAAATGTTTCCCAGGTCTTTACTCATACAATGTTGGTTTTGGGTTTTGTTGTTTTAACACCTTGGTTAAATAACCAATCAGACTGGTCAGATGAATATGAAATTAAGTTGAACAGCACCATCATATAAACTGCTACAGGAGTCTCAAATCTTTCACTTTTGACACAGTCTCTCACTTTCAACACAATCAATAAGATATCCTAATTTCTTTTATGAAAGCCTTTCAATTACTTACCCAAAAGTGAAAGAGAAAAATTTGGAACATATGTCTAGTAGCAATCACTCAGCATAAAAACTATTAACTAGCATTATTTTTTAGATGGCCAAGGTTTAGTTATATTAGACAACATAAAGACAAAATAAATAGAAATGCCTTACTTTATCATGAAAACCAAAGAACATATGTACACTTCAAATCTTAGATGGTTTCCAAAATTTTGTTATCTTGCTCTAAGAACCATCACCTCTATCTTCAAAAATTGTTAAACCGGTAAAGACATTTTTTCCCCCAAATCAGAATTACCATGTGAATAAAGGCATTTCTAAGTATAGAGTAACCAAAGCCTAAGTAAATTATACCTACCCATTTTAATCTAAGATAAGCAGTGTGGTTTCTTTATCTAAGTCAAAAGAATCATAAGTATTAAGACCCAAGCCAAGAAAGGATAAACTTTTTCTTTCAAATCGTTTGCCATTTTCACAATTTTCAGGTGTTTGATTCCTAAAATCAACAGTCACTTCAAATTCTTAGATATAACACTTTTTATAAAGCATAAATAATGTTTCTAAAATTTGTAGAGATGCTTAATTTGCTCACTCCAAGCTACAACGCATCTCCTGGCAATGCCAAAAGCCTCTTATCTCTAATGATGTCTGGCAGAGAATACTTTGTTCATATTTTGTATATCCTAAAATCCAGGAATATGACTATGAGGAGACAATGAGACTCTCAGGGAGGGGAGCTATAGAGAAGATGACCTTAGATTTCCACTCACAACTGAAATGAGAATAGAGTTGGCATAAGAAGATGAGGGGGGAGTAGCAGACAAGGTAACCTGTCTAGAAGTGACCATCCATAGCAAAAACTAGAAGAGGATCCCTTGCATCCAGCCTTCTAGTTACTAAAGTTACAAGTCACTTCTATTAACCCAAAGAGAAGGGTAGTAAAATACTCAAGTGAAATTATCCTCCTCCCTTTTGCTATTCTCACTCCTCAAGAATTAAAGAAAAAATTGGATTTGATCTCCCTTTAATGTAACAAGGGGCTATGACATTTTCACTCAAGACTTGATGTTTACTCAGCCTTTTCAAGGCACTTTATCATCATCAATTATTCCTCAATGAAGCAGCGAAGGATTACCCTGACCACTTCACTGATGCGGAAACAGACACCAACAGCAAAGGGAAAGGACAGGAAGAGGGGCGATAGGAAGCATCTGGGAGGAACAGGCAGGCAACTAAAAAGGAACAAACTCAAGAGAAAATGAGAGTCACATCTGGTTTATACCTGATCATCATAAGCCTTATTTTTGAGTTTAGAGCTACTCCTGAAGAAACATTTTGAAAAGAAAGTGCTCTAAATAATCAGTCAGATAATAATACCTACTTACTACCTAAACTACTTGGTCATAAAAGTAAAGTTATTAAGCATAAAAAAAAATTCCAATCTCCACATACTGACTTCAGTTTATACCATTAACCCATTTCCCCCCTCAAGCCTAAACAGAATGTTACCTGTCTGACCCAGAAAGTAATCTCTCACAAATATATATATATAATTTATATGGAATATATAATTATATATTTTATAATTCTAATAAAAACACAAAGTTTATATCACACAAGTCAGGAAAAACTCAATTACAGCCAGAATTTTGTTTAGAGAATTACAACCAAAATATTGACTCCCTGAAACAGCCCTTGCAATAAGAATTTTTTTTCTACATTCTCACTGATATTCTTAGCTATAACCTTGAGCTTTTCAGGAATGAACTGATGGGGAGTCTTAAACAACCAGAAACCAACACACACAGTAGCTTCCGAATGAAACATCACAGGCACTTAATAAAGATGTGTTGACTGAAGCATAAATCTAGTGGACTGACCAATTTCCTCATGAAAAAAAAACGTAACAATATCTTTAAGATTGATTTCAATCTTTTTATACATATTACTAAGTCATTAGTTTTAAAGCATTCCCACATACAACACAGTTCAGTTATATTAACCATTTTGTCCAAACTTTCAGCTCCCAAACAAATCAAATTCTTTGGGGTAAACAGGTAGACACCCTTAAGCAGGTTATAATGCCCCATTATGTATATGAATTTTATTTTAAAATTTCAAAGCCATTTCAAATGGTGTTTGTTTTTGAGAAAATTCTATCAGGCTGTCTTAAAGACCTCAAATAAAGCTATAGCCAAACAAATACAAGGCATCAGGTGAGTGCTCATAAGCTCACACCTTTCCCCAAATCCCAACTGGATTCATCTCCCAGAGCTTATTTTCACACTCCTCACATCGAATACTCAAAATCACACAGACTGAAAAAACACTCATCCTTGAAAATACTCAAAATCACACAGAGACTGAAAATACACTACTTAAATGAGTAAGAAAAATGGCAAGAAAGACAAAAGTTGTCATTACTGAAGGACACTCCCAAGTAGTTATTGAAAAAAAAATGCGTCTACGAACTACAACAATACAATGCTTTCACAGCAGTTGTACTCCATACATGTTACACATCTAATAACCCCCCCAACAAAGAGAAATATGAATAATTCCAGGTTGGCTGAGGAAAGCAACTGCAATTGTTTTGAGAAAGAAAACTATCTTGATCATATGATCATAAAAAAAGTTCTCATTTTCCCTGCCTGGTTTTCTCCCTATTTTCTAGAGATGTCCTAAAGTCGCCCCTACAGGTAAGTCGTAACTGCCAATCTCTTCATCCTTCCAAGAGAGGCTAATTTCAAACTGTAATCACATTTTGTAAGGAACGACAAATGTCCTACCAATTTTTTAAAAGTCAATAATAACTTGTAACTAAATACCTGTGCTACCCAAACGCGGGGGGGGGGGGCCGAGGGGAAGGGGCGTTTAAGCCAAAGTACAGTTCCTCCCTCGAAGCTCAGTACAACCTCGTTGCACACCACAGACTAAACCGGCCGCCCCGCTCTCCATTTGCGGATCCACACTCAGCGAAGCACAACCAACCCTTTCATCCAGGTGAAAAAAAGCAAGCAGCTGCCTCGACATCAAGACAGCCACGGTCGCGACGCCCAATCGCGCCGCGAGGGCACCGCAGCCGCCCCGCCGGGGTATCGGCGCCCCTCCACGGGCCCCCAGCCCC